AGGCTCCGCGTGCCGAGGGGTCGCGTTCTCCCCGTGGCGGCGCTGCGACCTCGGGTATGGCGTCGGTGTCCAGGCGCGTCTGCGAGGCCTAGCGTCAGTAGCAGAATCCCCGACGCGGCTCGCCCAGTTCCGAGATCCCCTGGCTTGGTTCCCCGCCGCAGTGGAGGCAGGCGGCCAGCGTGGCGGCCACCTGGGAAGGCGCGCGCTCTGGGCCCCCTCCCAGGGACCGTTCCCGCCCGACGTGGATGTTGGCCTTTGTTTGTTTTCTTTCTCGTCGCAAGAACTGGATTCGTGTTTCGACTCTGTGAGCGGAGGCCCTCGGGGGCGGGAGAGCGGTGAATTGGCCACTTATCTGGCTGGCGATGCAGAAGTGGGATAGGTTCTCGGGGCGGGGGGGGGGGGTCGCTCGCCTCGGCCGCCTCGGGAGGTGGGGGGTGTCCCTCAAGAAGCTCTCGGGGAGCGAAGCCCGGGAGTTTGCTGGGGCGGATTCAGATCCGCGGCAGGCCATCTCGGGGGCAGGGGCAGTGGAGGTTCACTCTCCTGAGGAGGGGGGGGGCGTCTTGGGGGGGCCTTCCCGCCGAGCGCGGCGTCGTCGCGCGCGGCGAGGCGGCGGGGGCCGCGGGGGGGAACGCTTGCCGAACCGAAGGCCAAGAGCCGCTGGTGTGTCTGTGGGTGCGAAGATGAGGGCGCCCGCGAACTGCGCACTTCTGTGCCGGCGCCGCGCGTGGGGGCCTTGATGTCCTCTGCTGCGTCGATTGCTCGATGGTTCTCGTCGTCGCGGGCGACTGGGCGATCTCGGCGGGTGGGTTCAAGAGGAGCAGCTGGCTCTGTTCATGGAGAGTTTCACGTTTGGATATTTGCGCCCCGTATCCCGCGCGCAGTGCTGGGGCGGAGTATGCGGGGGGGGGGGCGAGGGATGCGCAGCCGCGTGCTGATATGTAAGGAAAAATCGTATCCCGGCAAAACAACTTAACAGCGATGTGTAGAAGCTTTTCTGGAAGCATTGCCCTTGATATTCATGTAGGAGTCCTGTTGTAGAATTCTGGTGTAATCGCGGTCGCATTCGGAATCGCAATGGCAGTTGCAGTGGCAACGGCAGTCGCAGTCGCAGTCGCAGCCTCAGCCTCAGCCTCAGCCTCAGCCTCAGCCTCAGCCTCAGCCTGCCTCAGCCTCTGCCTGCCTCAGCCTCAGCCTTAGCCTCTGCCTAGTAGTAGTAGTAGTAGTAGTAGTAGTAGTAGTAGTAGTAGTAGTAGTAGTAGTAGTAGTAGTAGTAGTAGTAGTAGTAGTAGTAGGTAGTAGTAGTGGTAGTAGTAGTAGTAGTAGTAGTAGTAGTAGTAGTAGTAGTAGTAGTAGTAGTAGTAGTAGTAGTAGTAGTAGTAGTAGTAGTAGTAGTAGTAGTAGTAGTACTAGTAGTAGTAGTAGTTAGTAGTAGTAGTAGTAGTAGTAGTAGTAGTAGTAGTAGTAGTAGTAGTAGTAGTAGTAGTAGTAGTAGTAGTAGTAGTAGTAGTAGGAGTAGGAGTAGTAGTAGTAGTAGTAGAGTAGTAGTAGTAGTAGTAGTAGTAGTAGTAGTAGTAGTAGTAGTAGTAGTAGTAGTAGTAGTAGTAGTAGTAGTAGTAGTAGTAGTAGTAGTAGTAGTAGCACCAATAGTAACATGCAGGCGCTGAAAGGCGTGTCTGTATCCGCGTTTTTTCATCGCTCTGCATTCTCTCCCTACTGCGTTGGTCTGTACCATCGTTTGCACTGCATGCAGGATGCAGGATGCAGACTGAGGGCTACAGTTGACTCCTCGCATTCAACAAATAATCCGGGAATCTCAGCCTGCCTCAGCATCAGCCTGCCTCAGCGTGTGCAGCCTTAGTCTGCCTTCAGCCTCGGCCTCAGCCTAAGCCTGCCTCAGCCTCAGCCTGCAGCAGCCTCAGCCTCAGCCTCAGCCTGCCTCAGCATCAGGTCGCCTCAGCGTCTGCCTCAGCCTGCCTCAGCCTCAGCCTCAGCCTCAGCTTCAGCCTCAGCCTCAACCTCAGCCTGCGTCAGCCTCAGCCTGCGTCAGCCTCGGCCTCAGCCCCAGCCTGCATCAGCCTCAGCCTGCATCAGCCTCAGCCTGCATCAGCCTCAGCCTCAGCCACAGCCTCAACCTCAGCCTCAGCCTCAGCTTGAGCCTGCCTCGGCCTCAGCCTCAGCCTCAGCCTGCCTCAGCCTCAGCCTCAGCCTCAGCCTCAGCCTCAGCCTCAGCCTCAGCGGTGGATTCCCCATAGTCACTGGCGGCGCTGGGGGCCTCAGCATCAGCCTCAGTGGTGGATTCCCCATAGTCACTGGCGGCGCTGGGGGCCTCAGCCTCAGCCTCAGTGGTGCGTTCCCCATAGTCACTGGCGGCGTTGGGGGCCTCAGCCTCAGCCTCAGTGGTGCATTCCCCATAGTCACTGGCGGCGCTGGGGGCCTCAGCCTCAGCCTCAGTGGTGCGTTCCCCATAGTCACCGGCGGATCCGCGGATTCTCCCCGGATCCTGCCCGGACCCCCCTGGGGAGTCATGATGTTTGAGACCATTAGAAACCTATCAGTCTTCGCTGTTAGGTAACATGCCAGAGCATATTGAACGGGTTACGCGCGACATTGAGATGCGAGCACGTCGCGAGCTGCCGCGCATAGGTTCTCAGATGAACGAGCTTAGGTCCTGGGCGTGGTTGGCCCGGGTGGGGCGTGAGAATCGACCAGAAGAAGGCGGCGCAGCAGCTTTGCTAGCTACTTCAGTGAACTGTCCGACGGTGGGCGACGCCCTGGTCGCCGACGAGATGGGCCACCTGCGGGGGCCGGCTCGCCTACCGATCACGACATGGAAGGACCGACTTGGCAAGACTGCGTGTTGCGACGTCATCCGGCAGTGGGGGGGCTAGGGGGGAGTCCGGGGAGAAGCCGCGACAGGGGCTGGCAGGTCTACCTGGCGGACGACAGCACATCTCTTGGGGGGCGTTCTAGGTTCCCTCCTCTCGCATGGAGTTCGTTGCTGGATTGGGAGACAGGTCCCTTCGACACTGGCGGGCGACTTCAGGTACTGAGTGCAGCATTGGCAGAGACAGAGTGGCTCCAACTCCTATTCCGGGACGCATTGTGTTCGGCGCTGTCGCTGACGAGTCCTGGCAGAATGAAGTGGCCCCTTTGCTTCCTTGTTGCGGAAAGATTGCGCACTGAATTTCGAGCCCGAGGAGAGCGCTGCCATCGTAGACGCAAAGGGGATCTTCGGCTTCCTCGATAGACCGTCTGGTAGCCATCGACCTCTCGAATAATTAGCAGAGACAGTCTACCACGTCTGGGGGGAAACACGAGGTTGCTGCCGCGTCCGTTCATGCCAGCGGACGTAATGGCAAACGGCAGATGTGAACAGAGGGACCGCATGACCAGACCGGCACGATGCGCCTGGCAGCTGAGCAAGACCCCTCGTCTCCACGTCAGAGGGACCCCTCTTCCAAGGCCAGGTCTCGAGCGGCCTTGTCTCGTCAGCTCGAGTCGTCGTCGTCGCCATCGAAGTTGCGACAACTCGGGGAAGGGGAGGGCTCCGTGTCGCATATTTCACTCATCCTCATTTTGAGGGAATTGGGTCGGCTCGTGCCTGGTCCGCTTTCGTGAGCCTGCGTCTAGTTTAAGGTCACTAAATTTGGGTGGGCAGGAGCTAAAACGCATGTGAACTTACACGATATATGCCTTGTGCGTCGCATGTGTGTGCCTGCCTGCATGTGCTGTTCCATCACCGTTATGGCTTCAGGGCGCCTTCTGCACTTTCCACTTGCGCCCGTGTGCTGACAAAGTATCCGTCACCACGCGTTGTTGCTGGTGGTATTGGCGTGTCAGAGGAGGACGAGGAGGAGGAGCAAAGGATTCCAGGTCAAGTGCGAATGAGAACCGGAGGAAGGATCTTGAACATTCATGTGTAGATAGGACGGCACCCGATCTTGCATTGTACTTCTTGTTGGTATGTTGTATCAGTGCAGGTTCACGTTAATGCTGTTTTATCTCCCAACCTTGTGCGTATTTGGCGCTACGGCGCCCACCTACGACGCCCTCGACGGCGACAGCTGCAGGTCCGATGTCCGACGCGCGAGTGTGAGTGTGAGGTTGAGGTTGTGCAAGAATTCGGTAACAAATCATTGGAGCCTGGTGTACCCTCTTCCATCTTTAGCGTCGATGAGAGTTGATTAGCGTCTGGCAGTCGATGAGATAGCGCCGATTTGGCGTCGGTCAGCGTCGGTTCGCGTCGATTTAGCGTCGATTGGCGTAGATTTAGCGTCGACGAGCTTCCATTCGCAATAGCCAATAAGATGGTATGGTTGGTTCCCATGAGTTGCCACAGAATATGAGTGCGGGAGTCCAGACGCAGATGTAGATGGAAGTGGAGGACGAGGAAGACGATCGAAGGACGGAGTGTACACTTCTCTGTGTATATGAAAATGAACTTGAGCATGGGTATTGCGACGAGCATGCGTGGGATGTTTGGATACGTGCGCAGACATTCTCCGCCCGCCCCCCCCGAGGCCCGGCCATCTTGGGATTGTCCTGGGACCGCTCCGCCCCGTCCTTTCTCGGGGCTCTGTTGCATCTTGGAGCCTCTCGGGGCGCATCTTCCAGGGACTTCGTCTTGTGAGTCTCTTCTGATATCTGACGTTGGCTCGGCGCGGATTCGGCGTGGACTCTTCGCGGATCCGATTCGGATTCGACGCGGTTAGCCGGGCGACGGGACAGACAAGGTCTTCCTCTGGCGCCACGGGCTCCCTCCAGTCGACAGTAGGGAGCAGACGCGGCGGGAGAAACAAGATAAGATGCAGAAACCAAGAGAGAAGACGGGAGTCAGAAGAGAAAGCACACCGGCGGTATTGAAGTATAAGCGTATGTGGATACACATTCGTGGTAATGGTAGTAATGGTACGAATGGTGGATCGTGTGGTAGTTGTGGCCGTGGTTGTACGGGGGGGGGTCGATGACACGGGCGACGAGTCTCTTCGGTCCCCTATCAGGAGAATCAGAGCCCGCTGATGCAGGGCCTCACTCGTAGCATCAAGAGCCAGGCCGCCTGGGCGGGGGCTGCGGCAAAGGAAGAAAGGGGATGAGGAGGAGGACGAGGAGGACCAGAACGAACCCAAGATGCATCAGAAGCTCAAAGGATAGCCCCATTTTGAAACAGACCAATTTCAGCAGGAGGAGGAGAAGGAGGAGGAGGAGGAGGAGGAGGAGGAGGAGGAGGAGGGAGGAGAGGGGGAGGAGGGAGGAGGGGGGAGGGGGAGGAGGAGGAGGAGAGAGAGGAGGAGGAGGAGGAGGAGGAGAGGAGGAGGAGGAGAGCTCCGTGTAGCTGCTGCAACCTTTGGAGACGAGCGGGCGCGGCGCTGAGGCCAGAGCCCCCTTTTTTTAGCAGGGAGCCGCCCTCTTTCATCCGTACCTGTTGCACGCTGTTGGTACGAGCTTGCGTGGCGCTGGCGCGAGACGACCACTTTGAAAACCGCCCGCCTTCCATCGATGCAGCTGTTGCAAGCTGCTAGGACGAGTGTACGCGACACTGAGGCGAGGACCCTACCTTGGGAGCGCCCTGTGCGCCATCCTTTGACTGTTGCGGAGGTGAGTGTGCGCGGCGCCAGCGCGAGAGCCCCATTTTGGAACCGACCTCCTCCGTCCCTGTAGCTGCTGCGGTTTTCTGAGACCCCTGTGTGCGGCGCTCAGGCGAGTGCCCCATGGAACTCTTCTGCGACTTCCAATATTCAGGATCATAAGTGGCAAGGAAGTCTCAAGCGAAACGTCCAGAAACGTCCGGGGGTGCGACAGGGGGAGGTATCTGTAATGATGCGGGACGGAGGTGAAAGAGGCAGAGGAAGAACAGGGGAGGAGGAGGTACATTTGGGAGGGGGATGGGAAGGAGAAGGTGGTGGGGTGGAGGAGGGGGGAGGGGGAGGTGGAGAAGCGGGAGGATGGGGTCAATGGGCCACGTGTTCGTTGAACCCTGCGAGGGGGTATCTCCCAGCAGGTGCCCCGATCGAGCTGATTGCTCCCGTCTACGGTTTCGATGATGCCGACGATGATGCTGATGAGGGTTGCGGAGAATGGAATTGGAGGCATACTAGAGAGTGGAGATGAGAAGCACGAGCAAGCCTTTTAACGTTCAGGTCCTGGGGCCCATTGCTGTTGACGCGTTTCAAGATCGCCATCCGGTGCCTGACATTCTTGCGCAGCTCTACGCGCCCATGCACTATCCCTTCATGACAACATAGATGTGAAACACAAGCGGGCCGCTCGAGACATCCTTTCAACAATGGATGTTGCATATTCTATGTGACGACGTTGATCTGTCTAAATGAGGTTTTCGTTGCGCTCAATTTTTGCAAATGGAGGCGCAGATGTCGTTTGTGTAATCATTGCATCTCCAAACATGGGCCGTTCGCCAGAGACTTCCTCGAACAATGATATTGGAAGGGCTGCTTGAAGACATCTTCTGCTAAACGTGATGTTTATGCGGTGGTGCGGGATACACGCCGCGAGCTTCATGGTATCATGGCCCGGAGTATGGCAATAATTTCGAAAACTGGAGAAGGAGCGGCGGCAAGAGGACGAGTCCGTGGTGCTTCGAGCCGGCAAACATTTGCGATGGGTCGTCCAGACCATTTTGAAGATCAGCGACGGCCCGACAAAGGGTAACCTGCCGCGTTTCGTGCACCAAGCGAGCCTGCGGTGAAAAATTTGGAAGCGTCACGTCGAGATGATTTGATGAAGAAGCGCGGCCGTATGGCACATGCGAGCGTCGACTTGGAAGCGATGGAGAGGAAGGCTGAGCAGCTTCCGAAAAATGACGTGTCGCCAGAAATTGTTCGGGTACTACCGAATGGTGCGACGGTGAACATTCTCATGATGCAGAAGAACGCGACACCGCGCGACGGTGCGCGGGGTTCCGTGGGCGCCGCGTCGCGCGACGTGCGTATGCCATCATAAGGGAAGTCGTCGGTGGGCGACGTGCGCGCGAACAAATTGCGGCAAGCTGCGCTGGAACATGCACGCGACAGGCGCTGCGACAGCAAACAGCGGGAGCGCAGGTCAGCGCGCGGCGCCTGCCTGGTGGTGAGCCAGCTGCGGTGGCGAGAGAGAAGGTTTTTGGTGGCATCGCGCCTGACAGATGCATGCATGGGGCAGTGCGAAAAAAGTTTGAGTGGGCCGACTGAGCAGCGAGCGTGGATCAGGACATGGTGCAGGCCCGCCAAGGGGAGTTGATGGATGCGGACTTTTCCAGCGTGAGGTAGGTCTTGTGTACGGGAAGAAAATGACCTAACCAGTTCGTGCCGTGTTTTTCGGGGTGGCGTTTCCGTTCTGCTTCAAGTCCGGCGTGGGAGTGCGGGTGCGCCAAAGTAGTCGGGGTCTCCTGGGGCCCACTTGGTCTGATTTGGGGCCCTCGGGGGCCGTCTTGGGCTTATCTGGGGGCTTTCGTGGCCGTCCGAAAGGGGGTCATTTGGGCCGTCGCAGGGCCGTTTCGGGCCATCCAGGGCTCGCCCTGTGTCTTCCGGAGGTGCTTCTGTGCCAGCTTGATACCCTTTTGGGTCCTTCCTGGACTGTCCAGTGGCCCTGTTGGATTGTCTTGAGGCCGTCTTGGGGGCCTCTTGGGTGGTCCTGAGCCCCTCGGGGGCCTCTCAGGCCGTTGTGAGCCGACGGAAACGATAAGCGGATAGACTTCGAACGTCGTTCGGGCACCGGAGTAGCGTCAATGATTCTGATATTCTCGAGCTTTGTTGGCGTTTATCTTGGAGCCCTCGTGGCCGCCCTGGAGGCCGTGGGCACTGTCGAGGCCAGCTGGGTGCCACCCCAGGTTTGCGTGGGGCCATCTCCTCCCTCCTCCCTCCTCCCTCCTCCTCCCTCCTCCTCCCTCCTCCTCCTCCTTCTCCTCCTTCTCCTCCTCAGCCTCCTCTCTCTCTTTGGCGTCATCCGACGTTGATTCGGCCATCCTGGCTGCCGGGGCTGCCTTCCTGGACACTTCCGGGAGCCATCCTGGTCTTCTTGCCGGGGGGGAGTCGGGCAGCCCAGGGGGCCTTTGGAAGAGGGGGCGTCGCGTGCGCGCGAGCGCTACTAGGTGGAGAGGACAGATCCCGCGGCTGCCGCGCGACACAAGACGGACCCAAACTGCCGCCAAACGGTTCCAAGACGATGGGCCCACGGGGGGCCCGAGTGGGGCCCCTGGGAGGCCGCCGGGTGGCAGAAATCCGGGTTTTCACATCCTGACTTTGGCGGTCGTCGCATCGCCCGGAAAGGCCTGGGGGCCCCTCGAGGCCGCCCCCCGCTGACCCGAAGACGCTGCGAGAGAGAGTCCAAAGAGAGGCTCGCGCCAGCCCGATGGGGCAGCCGGGTTGCTCAGTCTCCGTGGTCTGGTGCTGGCCCCGAGGGCATTCCTGAGGGGGCCGGCCGCTCAGTGCCGCGCTGCCGCAGAGAGGATGGAAAAGGGGGAGAGGCAGCAGGGGCGCGAGAGACGGGAGAGGGGAGGAGAGAATCGGAGAGGAGGCGGCGACGATAAGGCGGTCCAGTGCGTACTGAAGCCGCGGCTGGTTCTGCTTGGGTTTGAAGCCGATTGGTCATGTTCCGGCTCGCGTTAGGAAAGGGATAGGTCACGCAGATTCGGTTCGGCAAGGATTTGCCCGAGCTGCTCAGGTCAGGCTCGTTGTCATGTCTAGAAGTATTGAAATCGTAGTAGCGCAGTCGGGAGGGGCTTTCTTTGTGATCGACGCGTTCTTCCCGGTTTGCATGTTGCCCCAAGAGCGCGCCGTCGCGGCTTCGAATTTTGGGCGCCAGTCTTTTCGAGCGCAGATGCGGCTTTTGGGGCCACTCTCATCAGACGTTTGGAGTGCAGGAGTGGGGTCCAACCTGATCTTGCGGACTTTGTAATGATCTGTCCTTGTTTTGCGACGGGGATCGAGTCTGCCCCGCGGGCAAACTGGGCCGCGCCACCCGAGGCGATCAGCGTTGCAGTCGGTTTGTCGGTGAGAACTGATGCGGGGCGATCGCAAGCTGGAGTCTTGCAAATTGCGGCCGCGCCTTATTGTGTATCTCGTCCGCTTTCGACCAGCCGCGGCCTTCCAGTGTCAACTGAGTGGTGGATGGTAGGCAGTGCGCTGACGACGCCGAGTAAAACAATCGCCCAAGATCAGAAGGCTGCCCAGACTAGTCAACGCAGCCCGCAGGCTGCCCCGAAAGCGACCCGACGGGATCTCTGAAGTGACCCGGCAAGATTGAAGAGATCTGAGATGATCTACGATGTCCCGGAAAGTTCCCAGATCGATCCAGGATTCTCCAAGCCATCTTCCTATATGAATGCAAGTAGTGAAAAAACATAGTAGCTCTGAGAGGAACTCATCGGCATGTAGTTCTTGGGTTGGTTTGTTCTGGTCGTGTCGGTCCTGAGATATACATTATGGCTTCAGATGCGCCCACTTCGCTATCGAACATATCTCATTCGAGTCGTTGGTTCTCCCCCTCCCCTTCGTCCTCGCACTGTTTCTCGGAGTCTTCATCATTACGTTTAATTATTATAATTGCCTCTTTCTCATCCGCCTTCTCCTCCTACTTTCTATTTCCCATTCATCCAGTGGTGTTGTGTCCTCGCTTTGAAGAGACGGCGCCCCGCGTCTCCTCCCCTCCTCGCCCCCCTCCTGCCTTCTCCCATCCTTGCTCCAGCCCTCCGCATGTCTGCCCTTTCGACGCCATTTCGGCACGCCCCTCACACGTTTCGTTGCCTCGTAGGGAGTTCCACCGAACGTCCCAGTGGCACAGTGCACATGCGTCTCCCTGCCCCAACTCGGCACACCCCGCACGCGATTCGTGGTCCATAAAAGGCGGCTCCACCGAAAACCGAAGGCCCAAGTGGCGCGGTCCACATACGTCCCGCCGCTTTATGTCGGCGCAACCCTCACACGTTTCGCGCCCCCATGGGCAGCTCCACCGAAGGCCCCAGATGCACAGTCCACGTGCATCCACTCCGCATGTCGGCACGCCCCTC